TGATAAATCAAAAGCTCGCTGCCGCCAGTGCCTTCGTGCATCAAAGCTCATTATCTTCATGTTCTCGCCATCCCAAAACTTGCACCCAGAGCAGCAAAGGAGGCAACAATGTTCAGCGGCAAATTCTTCGACATTCCCCCCATTGGCTTGGAGTTGGGGGCAGAGGAGATATTTGAAATTTGATAGTATTAAACTTTTCTCGTGAAAATGGAATACTTCGAAAAGTTTCGGTAAGATAACGACCATTTCAAACACGCCCTAACGGCCGTTAAGGCAAATTTATTCCACGTTGAATACGATGTGCATTCTCTCTAAACTATTTCCCCAGAGTCATGTTGGGGACTTTTGCATTTGAATAAAAGTTAAATTCGCCCAGAGCTTCTGGTGTGGGCTTGTGGGGTGTGAGATGGAGCTTTTGGGGATAATATGTTCGTATTAGCATCTCGCCGTCGGGGAGAAATTGCTTCCAGAGGCACTCTTTTTGGCGTCATCGGGTGAAAATTCGCATTCGCCGGAAATCTATTGCGCAGTGGAAAGTTTCGTGAAAGTTTAACCGCACTTCTGGAGACACTGGGAAGCCACACATTGAAGAAATGTGCGATTAACTCCACCCAAAATTAATCGTTTCGGATTCTAAAGTCATCACAGTGAACTTGAATTCATAATGAAAATTTTAATTCATTTCAAACCACGAGGGGCGGTAAATGTTTCATGAATTTCAGTAAATCTTTCAACACTTATCTTGTGCAATTTTTATATCCTCATTTTCTTGTTCTGGACGAGGGAACAAATGTCGCACTGGCGAGAAAATTCTCATCTCTCGAGACACTTTTCCGCATTGCAATAATTCGCCAGGCTTTTGCTCCCATTTCCTCTATTCTCAACCCCTCTAGCTAGAGAGCTGGTTAGAGCGACTGTTTGGGGGAATATCTTATGGGAATTGATCTGCAGTGCCGATAAATCGTGTCCACCCCTTTTTCCTTGGGTCACCCTTGCATTTTGGGTGGTATTGAAAGACGATGATCATAAATTGGATGTGTGAGCCTCTCGGTCGGGATTAAATCCTTTCAACGTTGGCTGCATATTTTCGCACCGTCAAATTTACGATTCCACCTAAGCCCTTCATTTCCATATATGAAAATACAGTGAAATCTCCAGAGTGTCGTTGAGAGAAATTTCCTGGGGGATCCCTAGGTAAACAAGGGGTTGGATTTTCATCACCCTTCCTTTTTACATACAACACGCGTATTTTTGTGTGAATTGAAAAAAAAAATCCGCGACTCGCTTTTATAGGCCATTGTCACATTTTGGAGTAATGAAATTTGGAGTATATTTGGAGGTGATTTCAGAGAGTCAATGCACAATGTGGGAATAATTAAAATTCAATCCCGAGCGAGAAAGTTCGACGTCCAGCGTGTTCATCAGTGATAAGAGCAAAGTAAATGACTTAATCACCCCTTAAAGCAATTTCAGGGGTGTCATTCATTAGACTAAACAACACCCATGGGGTAGTTTGTTTATTGAACGACCCAGCCGTATTCACATCAGCCCAAAATCCACCCGCACGGTGAGTCCTTTTCGGGGGCCTCTCGTAGCATCCCTCTTGAGCTTGATTAATGCCGCCACCACAGAATATTCAAGGGAGACGCGCTTTAAAAATAGAATTTATTTACCAAGAATCTGGTCGTTTGAAAATCGTGTTTTGCTTTTTATTTAAATCGCGTCTCAAGAGCACAAGCGAATGGAAAACGTGAAAAGAGCCAACCAGGAAATATATCATGTTGAGCTTTCGTGTCTTGCCTCGCGAGTGTTTTTAGTTATGCACGCCACGTTTTTTTCATGTATATTTACATTTTTTTTTTTCTGAAGCGACAGTGGGGGCAAAAATGACAATATTCAGTTGCCTAATTTATCGCCCATTACTATTGTAATTCAATTTTTTGCTGGTCAGTGGACAAAAAGAGCATCACTTTCCGGAGGCAGAAATGAATGAAGCGAGGTCATTCCAATTAATATTAATAAAAGGCGCCAATTAATGCAAATTTCATTTTTTTTCATCTATTTCATTTTCACGAATAATTGAATTTGCCGACCCCCCGCCTCGCCAATTTAATATCAGGACGATTTTTCATTTCATTGCACAATGAGAGTATATTTTTGGCTGCGCGCTTCCTCGCCCGATAAAAAAAAGCGAGGAATATATGAAAGAGTGGAAAATTCATAGAAATATCGTCGCCTTTTTTCTCGCCATGGAGGTTCGTGACATAAAACCTGAGAATATTTCAAATGAAGGACAAAATAATTTTTTATTGCAGTCAGGTCCCTTTTCTGGGGAATATGAATTTTTAACAAGCGTAATATTTACACCCCGACTGTAACCATGTCGGACTCTTCATTTTCCACACTGTGTTTTTTTTATGTCGGGATGTTTTTTTTCTCACCAGGATGGGGTGCAAAGGGGTTGTCAATTGAGTCCTTTGTGAGTTTGTGTGGCCTTGCAGAATTCTCTGTCCGGGAATGTGTTTTTTTTTTCCTTTTTATGGTTTGACTATTTCTTGGCTTGTTCGCCTTCCTCAAGGTTAATGGCCAGGAAGGGTGATGTGAGAATGTCTGAGATCGCCCGAAGTCAGTTCCTCGCTGACTTCTGGAGATCCTCCCTCGAGGATCGCCCTCAAGAGTGTGCAAATGCAGTGGCAAAAGCGTGCCCGAAATATTGACAAAAGTGGCCAATTGTTAGGCAAATGAGCTCAGCGGGCTAAGAAGTGTGAACAAATCGACCTTAGAGGTCTGTCCAAGAGATAATTCTCCCAAGACACGTGGTGTGAAATGTGGTGAGAGATATGGAAAATATTGGAATACCTCTGCCATCGTCCAGGATGGGCTTCGGGTGGCGATAAATCTCGGGAGTGAGCGTGGCTCTCGTGATAAATGATTTAACTTAAACCGGCTCATGAATGAGTGTCTCAAACTGCGGAATTTACGATGCACTGAGATTTATTTGTCTGTGGATCACGCATATAAATTCCATAATCACACAATCTATTTATTACTGAATTATAGGACGCAGAGGGGGCGTCGCAGTATCACCTTTTGTCTGGTCTTTCACACTGCTGGCCAGAGAGAAATTCTTGTCTTTTTTCGACTCACTGGAAAATCCCAAGACGCACAAGAATGTTGCAATTGATTATCGCACAAGAATTCCATCCCCTTGACCCATTCCAATTGCGCTGAACCATAAGGAAAACAATCTCATGGGCGATTCTTCCGTTACTTTATCACCACCCAAGAAAAAAACAGCGATTCCCAAAATGGGCCCTCGAGCGAAAATCAGGCGCAAAAGAGGTCCATTTGGCGAGTTCAATTGATGTGGAAGAAAAAAAAATCAGAGTGTTTGCGGTGCAATAATTGCGTGATTTTCTGCCAACCTCCCCGAAAAATACCTTGAGAGTCAATTTGGCCCTCAGCAAGAACTCTCGGAGAATTTATTTTCGCCTCCTCTGCCCACCATCAATTCACCGAAACGTGAGATTTAAGCCGCATCATTTTTGGGTTATAGTGAAAAATGTTCTGCGCACACCGCGTCGAGAAATTGTATCTGAAAAGTCTTTTATTTCTTGGGCACCTTCAGTTTGACCGTTCTTCTTTTTTTGGTTGGTTTGCTTCTCTGGGCAAGGAAACGGGTTTCCAGCGCGATGCTGCCATGTTTGAGCGCGCGGAGGTCAAGTGAAGAAGAGAGGATGAGCTCAAAATCAAAGATTGTGACCACATCCTCATGGACATGCAGCCCGAGAGAGGCAAATTTATTTCTATATGCGCCACCAGATAAAAAATCACTTTAATGTTTTTATTTCAAGTGGAGAAACATTTCTGCTCCATCAGAGTGACGCGCAGGCAAGAAATGCCAAAGCTCTTCAGTCTCTCATGTGAGAGATGCATGAAAATCTCTGGCCGGCTTCCACTCGATTCGATTTTCGATAAGAATTAATTGAAGTGGAGCAGAGCAATCTGCTTCCAGAGTGGCTTTTTCAGCGCACTCCTTCGCCCAGGTGAGACGGAGCCTAGTGACTTTCTTCGCATGCTCGCGCGGCTCACCCCAAAACAGTCATTGTGTGAATTTCAATGGATAACAAGGCCAATAAAAATTCCAAGTGCAATTTGACGATATACACCTCGGACATGGTGGCTGGTGTGAGATTTATGGGTCTGGGAGCAAATCATTTTCCCCAATTTGATGCTTTTGCCTTTTTACGATCCATAAAACAGCAGTTTGAGAGATCATTTTTACGATGTGTTGAATTGATACATGCGGTTGTTATTCCGCTCTTTTTTCCTCCTTTCGTATTTATATTTTCCCTCGTGCACTGTATATACACACCAACTTGAGCAATGGTGAAAAAAGGCGAGAGGAAAGAGTGGAAGAGAAGGAGTCTCGGCGGCGCATACAATTTGAGTTTTAAAAGGTCAATAAAAGTCACTGGTAATTGATAATAATTTCCATTTTATAGACTACTTAAGTGTATAAAAGTCAGGAGAATAGCACTCGCCCCCAGAGGATGGCGCATTTTTTCACCATTCGATGTGCCTGGCGGAAACAATTGGACAATTTCTTTTATTGATTGTTGATACTGCATTGGTGGTGTGGCTGAAGATTGAATAAATTAAATTGGGACATAATTCTCGGGCAATTGACTCAATTCACGCGATCGATTGCGATAAACATCAATCTTGCCAGATTATATTTATTGTCAATGACTCCTCGCGCCACTCTTAATGGCTCAATTTTTGCAAACTTGCTCTTGAGCTGCTGCTGGAGGTCATGGAATAGAATGAATTCTTGAGACTGCAATCAATAATAATATTGACGGAGAAAGGCTTATCTTGCGAGGCGAAAAGTCGCAGTTTCTATGCTGATTAGATTTGCATCATAAGCACAAATTTTTTCTCTCCCAAAGGAATTAGTTGTTAGTCAACAGTTTTCTGACTTCAGCACTTTCAGTCATGAGCTGACAACCTACCCCAAGGAAATCTCTCGGGAAATAAGGTGGCGACAATTATAAAGCTCAATTGGTGGGAAAAGTGTTGAGTATTTTGGCTGAAATATGAGGTGAGGCATTTGGTGAAGACATTGTCGGTGCGGGAAATCACTTGCCGCCTCTCCCAATTACAATCAGAAAAGGAGAAAAGTCAAAGATTGTATAACACTTTGAGCATACAACCCAGACATAAACATACCATAAGCCAAAAACGACTCTTTTTAGTGGCAAATAACTATAAAATAACACTCAAATGAATGGTCTCAAATTAAGAGGGTGAATCTCAAGTGGTGCACACTGTTTTATTTCCACTGTTGCTCACCATCCACCCTCCTCGGGGGCGGCTGGGTGGCAGAAATAACCATCCGCACTCCTCCATTCACCCCCAGTGCCTCTCATGTGGCTTCTGCACAACATTTTGGCTGGTGCACCCTGTTTTTTGTAAGTGTTTAGTACACCATTTATCGTTTATTTTACTGATCGTAAAAATCAAATCCGAAGAGTGTGGCAGAAGCTCATCTTCACGGCGCTCTTTTTTGGGATCGGCCTCTCGGTCGGGGCGAATAAATGAAAATGATCCCAACCTGTTTGAGCGCTCCTCAACAATGGCAATAATCGTAATAATAATATTAAATAAATGTGACTTCCCAATGCCTTGTTAATTTGCCATTTTCATCACGAAAAATGTGCAATATCGGGAGACTCTTTTCAGCGATTTACGATGGGAAAATCGTGTCGCTCAGGCATAAATGAGGCACTTTCAGTATGCTTCTCGATGGTGTATTTCTTCAAGAGATTTCGCCGATAGGAGTTTTATGGGGAGCTTTATTGGCAATTTACCCATCGTTATTGGACAATTATTCACAGTTTTAATTAATGTCACAGTTGATATTCAAAAAAGCACACACTCAGAACAATCTGTGCACCCAGAGATAACAATGACTCTCAATAATCATTTTCAATTCCACCCAATTTCCTCGCCGGAAAACACCCCAGTCAAACTTCAAAAATCAATTTCCCAGAGACTCTCTTATGCAAGAAAATCGCCTCAAGAAGACGGCAATTTTGCTGGTCAGTGGCAAAATTCCTGCTGATTTCGTGAAATACCCCCCAAGATATTGACGCCCAGATGGAGCATATACATACATATGTATGTATGGTGAATGAGAAAGACGAGAAGATATTAATTTAATTCTTATTACCTTTCACTGGGCAATTTGCGTCTTGTGCAATTTTCCGTCTAAATTGAGAGACGTGAAACAAGTTCTTGAATTTCTTTGCGCCCAACCGACCGCTGGGAGATGAATTTCGATGTATCAAGTTGCGAGGAAATTGATTTATTGTCCACCAACATGAAATCCGTGTTAAATTCCCAGAAAATTGTATTCCATGAACGAAGGGGGGAGCATCGTAATTTATATTTGAGCTCGCTTTTTTTCCTCTCCCCTAAATCATCCTTCATTCTTTTCTTGTGTGCTTTGGAGCCTTGAATAAAATAAAGAACAAATGAAATACACACGACAAATATCCAGAGTTACACCATTTTTCCTGCCAACAATTAGAAATTTATGTTCTGACTGCTTTGAGAAAGAAAATCCTCAATCTCATGAATTATGGGACAAATACAACTCCGAAAAACCCGATGGAGTTGCTCTTGGCCGACTACGTCGAAATTCCATCAAAGATTGTCCACAAGAAGTTGCTTTGCTGGTCAATTTTCACATGATAAATACAGCTGGAGGCCCTAATTGAAAAATAATTGCAATTACGGCCGATACTGGAGTGCAAAGTGCGCATTTATTTACGTGAAAACATGCATTAATTCTGCCTAAACGAGCCACATGCAATTTGACCCTGTCGTGGAGCACCTTTTGCCATTTTGCCTAAAAACGGCCTGCACGAATCTCAGTAATTTATTCTGCAAAATTCTCTAATTAATTCTACATGAAAAATTTACAAAATTCCAACTTTGAAACACATTTTAGGCACTCTTTTCCACCACTCACACAAATTCACTCACACTGCTTTCCCACCATTTCAGCCAACTCGCGTGCAAGAGAGACGAATAGAGTAGTTCCAGTGGCTTCCGAGTGGGGGCAAATCCAATATGGCATCCGGTTGAGCGACAGACAAAGCTTCAGCTCCAGAAAAGTGGCATTTTTGTGGAAATTTTGCGTGAAAAGGTGGCAAAAGTGCGTGATAATGCATCAGTCAAGTGTTTCTTTGCCAGAAATCCTTGCATTTTGGCGGAAAAGTGTGAGATTTCAGTGGAAAACATCAGTCAAATGAATGTATTGTGCAAAAGGGGGCGTTACCTAACGATTTATGGTTAGGAACGCAGTTCCGGAAAGTTTTTGGCTGTTTTAGGCTAACAACAAGGCAAAATGTGAGTATTTGCAGGCTTTCTTCAATTGAAATTGTAGTAATAATTGTTTCACACCATTTTCGGTGGAAGTTTTCAGATTTTTCCCAAGAAAATCGCCTTTAATGACGTTTATCTTGTCAATTTGTACCATAAAGAATGCAATAATCGTTTTGTGATCCATAAAACGTGTAAAATTTCATAGAATTTACCTTTTTTACGATGATTTTCTTAGTGGAATCTGTGGAAATAAGGAAGCTCTAATGTAGCCATTAACACGCCCATTTTCTTTTTCACTCAGGAAGCCATCATTGGCAATAAGCGTCATCTATCTATCTCACATTCCATCCAACAGCTTCGCATTGGCGCCCAGTGGATAGAGAGAGATGGCGCGACGGTGCAGAGAGACTCAAAGGCTGGGAAGACTTCACTGGCCAGAGTGAGATGGCAAGAGTGGTGAGTAAAGTTCATTGATTGCGCAGAAATACACTTCTCCGTTGACAATTGAGGAAGAAGCAGAGGCGCTAGAGTGAGTGAGAATGAGGCGAGATATAAAAGAGATATCAAATGAGCACTTTCATTGATTTTTATATGGGGCAGAATGCGATGGGAAATGTTCTTTATAGGCCGTTAAGTGGAACTGAGATGGACTTGTAACGTGTTATGTTTACTGCTGACAGAATGGGACATAAAATCCCCCCAAAAGCGCAGATTTAAATAAGTGGAAATGAGATCGGCGAGTGGCACGCAATACACATACATATTTGATTATAATCCACACCGATTTCCACATTTTTCCACTGCTCTTTTCTTCGCTTCTGGGCTGAAGCGCTTTTTTCCGAGTGCAGCGCACTGAAGTGGGATTTTCCTGGGCTTTCTCAACGGGATGAAAATATATGCTAGAGTGGCAGGCTTTTGGGGAGCATTTTAGGGAATTACGTGCGAAGATTGGATGAAGAAAAATTCCCCGAGAGCTCACCATCAGAAAAATTATGATAAAGAGACTGATGGAAGATTTCAGGGGCTAATTTACAAAATGAATTTAAAATGAGCCTCGGACGCTTCATTAAGCATTCAGAAATCGTCTCATCGATAAACGACAATTTTGTGGTGATGAACAAAACAATTTAAAGCTTTGACAATTTCTTGTTTTCCCCCTCTTAGCCTCGATTTTTTTTCCTGTATAGTCAAAAAGACACATAGAAAGAAGCTGAAGATAAGTGTATTTTGGGACTGCATTCCATGTGCCCAAACAGACTTCCGTTGACAACACTTTTATGGGAATTTCCTCGGCTTTCCTTCACACTCCCCATAAAGGCCATTAAGCTGCATTTCACCCGCCACAAATGAGTGACGCTTGAGGCAGGGAATGTGCCTCTGTTGCAGCCAAAATAGACCGTCACCATTTTCCACTATTAATCACTCTACGCCAAGTACAATTTACCGCGTGAATTTGCGCACATTTTCACGCGAAAATGTGGCGTGAAAGTGCGCCAGAGTGGCATATCTCATGAGCTGGGTGAAAATCCAAGGGATTTTCCAGGGATTACACCAGTCAACGATTCATTTTCTCACCGCACAACTCGTAAAGTCGCGATTTTACGCACCTGGCTCGATGATTTCAAAATTGACTCGCACAATGAGAGATGCTCTTCGGAAGCTCATGTCGTAAAATAATTGCTTGAGCAATTTACATGAGAAGGCATACATATTTTGGCCTCCAGGAAGAGACTTCTCTTATCCACTTCATGATCGCCATTCACTGCCAATTAATTGGTAGTTTGGCTATCGCGAAAGATCTCACCAAAATCTTGATACTTTCCAAAAAAACGCGGACTCAATGTGGCTTTGCATTTTTGATGAAATAAAATACTTTTTGGGCCTCTTTTTGTGTCTTGAAACCAATATGAAAGTGTAAAAGTTACTCCAATATCTCTTCTACTTAAGCATTCCGTATAGAGTGCGTACACATGAATTAATTAGTGCTATCGAGCATTCCATTAAACAGCAAGAAACCAAATTTTGTTTACTTGTTTTCTTTGAGAGAATATATTTTATCTGGCGGAGGTGGATATGTCTCAATTTTGCTTAATGAAGTCGCTTATGCTTTTGTAGTTTTGACGAAAGACAGAAATGAAACAGTGGTGAAGCTATTTTGCATAAGATATTATAAACGGTTAGCCATTTGTTAATTATACTTATGAGTATTAACGAATGTATGTTTTATCAGAAACTAGGCCTACGCAGAAACTTACCAATTCTTCCGAGATAAGCAATATAAAATCTACAAGAAAACTGGAGAATTTGTCGTGAATTTCCAAGATCAAATCTCAGCCTCACATTTTGCTTTCAGTGTACATAACCACGTCTTTTGTATTATCTTTCCACAAGATCCTAACCGCAAAAAGTTGAATGCCCGAATTGCTGACAAGAGGATCAATCAAAAGACGATAAAATCTAATAATATCAATTGATGTCCCTTCTCAAATTTGAAGCAATTTTGTCAAATGAATTGTCGAACTTTTGTCATTCATCGAACAACGATTCATTTTGCTCTGAAAATTGCCATCAACAAACACTCAGTATGAATTTCGTGGTATCGTAAATTTACTTTTGCCGGAAGATTTTGCCTGTGTCGGCCATTGTTTAAGTCAGAAGAAAAAGAGATGCCATAGTTTGAGCAATTGAGCAATTTCAATGTGACAATGAGAGGCATCAAAAGGGGATAAAATCAACCACAGAATATTCGTCTCTTCGCTCTCAATAAATCATCAGGGAGAGGGATTTATCCTTCTTTCCTGGGAGGGAATTCCAGGGTACAACCCTCATGGTGGAAGACGCTCCCAGGGCGAGAAATTCACATTGTTATACTCCACTTTTAATGTCTCAATCGAGAATATAAGGCTGTAAATCATGTCGCATCGGCCATATTTATGCCTTCAGTATGGGATCTTGGCCTTTTGTTGCGCTCTAAATTCCACCAAGGGTTGAAAATCAACTTCTCCCTCCACGGAAAAGCCGACCCTCCATGAGGGCTTCCCATGAAAATTAATGGCTTATGAATTCAAGAGAGGCGAAAGGACGAGCCGAAGACTCGAGACTTTCTTTCATTGTGCAGCGAATACAATAAATAAAAGTAGATGGAATAAAAAGTGCATCTCCTGGAGATTCTCCATCGAACAATGGGTTCGACTTTTTTCCCTTCACCCATCAGCATCTCAAATTGACTCTTAATAGAATGTTAGCGATTCGGCACGGTGGATTCAAAGAGAGAGAGATCAAAAGGCTCTCGTGTAGTTCTCAAGTGGCGGTCTATTTTTTGCTACGAAACTGCACGGGGTTAATTTGTTTGCCCTACTTTTTCTCTGAGTGTAGCTTCAAATTATAAGAGACGTAGGGCAGTGGGGCCGCCTGGTAGTGCAGTTGCACTTTCCGCCGTGGTGAACTTTTTAATGGGTTCGCATCTTCACTACACCGGTAAGAGAGTCTCTTATGCTCCCGAATTATTCCTGTCGAAAGGGAATAATTGCCAAATTTTATTATATAATGCTCAATTGCGGTGAAAAATCGATTTTTCCACATAGAGAAGGAAAAATTCACGTCGGAAAATTTCTTGTGAACGAAAGATTTGGGAGAGAATCAAATGCTTCTCGGCTTTCTTCTTTGTTTTCCATGTATTTTGTCGAGAGGCTTCTTTGATGTTGAACAGTTTTATGTTCACTTTTGAAATTTAATTAACAAAATGTGTCTAACTGAAGCATAAGATCTCCTCCCAATGAAATTCACAACACATCGTGGAGATTTCTTTAGAGGCTGTTCCTCATTTTAATTCACTATTCAATTATTGTTACGCATTTTTCTCTCTCCCACACTGGCTCTCGGGAAGGAAAATCTAAAATTTAAGCCATGCTCGCTGGCTTGAATACAAATTGATTGAAATTTCGTGAAGCTTCCATGATGGAATGTCGAAGTGTGGAATTTTTCTGTGCTCAGTATCGCGCAGAACGCAAAGGGATGGGTGAAGTTGGAGATTCTCATGATTAGTCCAGTGGACATTGGAAGACAATTTAGGGAAATTTGTCTTGAGTGTGTATTCAATGATTTGTTGAGTGTTGCACGACTGGAAATGGAGGCGATCCACCATTTCTTTCATGTCTTGTTATCGTAAATCTCAGCCCAGAAAACTTGTCTCAAACCTCTCTCGAGAGAGAGACAGACCCTCCAGCATCCCTGCAATAGGGCAAATAAATCAATTTCTCACCGTTTATAGGCACGAAATCTATTCTTCTGCGCCCAGAAAACATTCCAGTTGTAGCATCGGGAGTTGAAGAGAATTGAAGACTGTGTAATTCCTGACCAAAATAATTTATAAATCAAACTCAAGAGAGCACAACTGAGCCATAAATCATAATCTCATGTAGGGGTGACGCTTCAGTGTCTCTCTCTCTCTTGTGCATCTTTGGTGAATTTGTCTGTTCCTTTTTTTTCGCCAAAAATTAGAAAGTGCGCCCCTCAAACGCCTCTTTTCAGTGCCTCTCGAAGGGTTTCGGCATGACTTTTGCCAGCAAAAATGAAGCAATTGAAAGTGGAGAGAATTGGAGAAAGATCTTCTCATGTGCTTGAAATATACCCAGAAATCTCGCTTCCTCAACTGTCGCAGAATTAATTCCGATCTCCCAAAATCCACCGAAATAAACTCCTCCTTATGCTCTCTCTCTCTGTCTTGCAGCAAAAGGGCGCCTTGTGAATCTCCTCAGCAAGCTGGAGGGCCATAAAGTGAAGAAGTGATAAAAATAATCAAATTATTCTCACGACAAGTGTTCAGCAGATGGGGGTGGGGCGGGGGGGGGGGGGGGTGAGATAAATTCCTGAGGAAAGAGCCCTCGGCCGAGGAAGGGAAGAAAAATCCGTGCGAGAAGCCAGCTGAATTCCAACAAGTGCATAAGCGCCAGTAGCCAGATGAACATGAGGTCGTGTGTTTGGTAAAATTTTACTACTTTTTTACGATCTTTTTATGAGCTTTAAAGCGGTTCGTTTTTCATTACAAGCATAGCGATAGCGTGGCGGGGCAGGGAGGACGCCGAATGGGCCATATAAACAATTCTAGTTATACTAATAGACATCAAAACACTCTCCAAAATGGATTTTTATGAGGTGTTTAGCCGTTTATTTTGATGGTTTTGGGTGGTCGTAAAAATCAACCGTGTGTTTTTCAACAGGCCCGGTGATTTATGCCATTAAAAAAGTGACATTATTAATTAATTTCCACTCATGATAGAGTCACTTTTGTGTTATTTATCGTCTCACGGCGGCTTCGGCTGCGCCGCCGTGTCAATTTGTATTCAACCACCTTTTTATTGCCCCTTAATTGTTAAACATGCACTTTTACGATCAAATAAACATCTACACATCAAACAATATGGTTTGTTTTTCCTTTATTTTCCTGCACACTTTTCCCACGGTCTTTTCACGCCTCTTTTCAGAAAAAATTGTTGATTTTGCTGTAAATCTGGAGGAACGGCAGTAAAGATGGTAATGCAAAGAATTAATAATCAAGGAAGTCTCAGTAAATATGTTCGAATTAAGAAGAATTCTCTATATAAGAATCAGTCATACAGGAGATAATTTTTAGGAAATATATTTTTAGATGATAAAATATCACTTTTCTGTTTTATAAAATTGCAGTAGAATTAAAAGATTAGATATAAAAACTATGCAAAGTCTTGCAATTAATGTAACTCCTAGTTTATTGGTAAATTTAGAGAAACCAAACTCCTAACGTCATTGGTTTTTATAAATAAACGAAACTTGAAATCTAAAAGCAATAAATTGTAATTTTTATCGTTCTTGTGACTTATCCAAGCCACGTTTCTCGACTTTTCCCACCAATTTTTCACTCATCAGCGCTTTTACTGGAGAAATTTCACTAGCGATCTGTTGCTAAGGAAATGGCGATACTTTGGAGAAACATCAGGTGCCTGAGGCAGTGCTCTCGAGATCCTGCAATCGCTGAAATGGGGAGAGTAACGAGGCAGTTACCGTAAAAATTTCTGCTACCTAATCCACACACTACCACTCACACTCCGCCCGGCAAATCCGATGTGGCGAGAGCGAGAGGCACGCAGCTGCGGCGGCTCTCGCTCTCGCGCGAGCGAGACGGAGCGCTGGCGAGAGGGGAGCCTGTCGGGCAGTCCTGCAGGAGCGAGCGAGAGCTTTCGGGGGAGCTTTTGACGGAATACCAGTCAAATTGACTCAGTGGCACTTTTTATGGTGTGCCAGAGTGATTGTCATTTATTGCGCACTGCGGGAGCGAGACAGCACGATGGGGGGAGCGAGAGAGAGAGGGAGACGGCAGCGGCCATGCGTTCATCGATGCGTGAGGATGAGCGGGACGGATGACGATTGGAGTGTGTGATGGATTTGTCGTGGGGCAGCTTCGCGTCCTCTCACTCTGTCGGGTGGTGGAAATGAAAACATATTCAGCGATAAATGTTTGGGCGAAAAAGGAGGCCCAAAAACGCGGGGGAATCGCTCAAGTTGTGAATAGATTATAATTTAGAGGTGGTGCAAAACCATAAATTTCCAGGCTTCGAATGCCCGAGTCAATAATAGAGCAATTACGGCGCCGCGAGCTTCCTGGCTTCTCTGCACACGAGGTCGCGAGGCCGCGTGGAAAGGCTCTGTGCGAGGGAGACGGCGAGAAAATTGGGGAAAATCTCCGTGAAAGTATATGCAACAAGAGTGCCTGCTTCCACTCGCTCACGTACATAAAACACGCGAGCACTTTTCTCCGTGATAACGCACACTGTGACACGGAAAAGTGGCGCCGTCTCGCGCGGAAAACGGCCGCAGCACGGGCGCGAGCGAGACAACAGGACGGGGCAATACAGTCACATAACATTAATGTCATGTTATGTATAAAATTCATAGCATTAATGGGCGAGATGGTGCCATAAAACATAAATGAGTGTAAGTGAAATAAAAGATTGCGCAAGATACTTTGACTGAGCACTCATGTGAAAACAACATGAGCTCAGTTTCAGAAACGTCGTCGCAAGTGAACATTCGTTCGAAGACATCGCTTACGAACAGGCGCGCTTCGCAATTTTCGCATACAATTCCTGCCCAAGAAAATAAACACTCACTCAAGCCAATCTCAATAGCAATCACATTTACTATTATTGCCCCCGGGCTTTATTTAAATAATAACAATAAACATTTTCCACCACAACTGCGGCACTTAATCGGCTATTTTGGACAATTAATTCGACACATTTTTCCTTGCCCATCGAGAGGCGGTTTGTGCGAGAAGAGTTTGCGATATTTTTGGTGGTCCGGATCCTCCTTTCGACGCTCTTCCGGGAAATCCTGGAAGACCGCCAGAGACTTGGAGAAAATAGTGCTGGTGACAATTTCTGTGGACTTCAGCTGCCACTGAATTGCTGAGCGAGAACGAGAACGTTGGAAGAGAAGTGCGAGTGTAATTGCGTAAAAAGAAGCATCGGACATAAAAAGAAGTGTTAAGTGACTCAACACTAATTTGCAATCAAAGATATTCACATTATTGTTATGATTATTTTTATGGGCCACATCTTTTGAATGGTCTCGCCGTAGAAATTACACCCAATGTGCTCTCGAGTGACAAGAGATTGAGTGGCACACGGCTCTCCTGGCGACGATGACGAAGTGACTGATAATGAGTTTTCATGACGACACGATAAAAATATAGAGCACACGAGAAAAAGACCACGCAGAGTGGATAATCGTATAAAAAATAGTCTGAGGAATTGGCGAGGCGCAGAGGATAAGAAATTGCACCAACACATCGCTGTGGAATTCTTTCTCACACAATCTTCGGCGAAGAATCAATTTCCCTCAGCAGCATAAACCATGACAGTTATTGCACATAAAATGGTGTTTAAAACAATTTTCATAAACGCCACTTGCGAGTGGTGTGACTGAGACTCTGTAGGCCCCGTGGACCCGCGCAGCCTTTGAGCTAAAGTAACCCCAAGAGTGACTCCAGTGCTTAAGACATTTGTGTGTTGGCAAGCATGAATTCGTATTTCGAGCAGTCCGGCTTCTACGGACATCCCCATCAAACCACCGGCATGGGCATGACCACGGCCGCTCACCACGACCAGAGCGCCACGGCGGCGTACCGGGGCTTCCCGCTCTCGCTGGGCATGTCGCCCTACGCCAACCACCACCTGCACCAGTCGCGCTCGCAGGAGTCGCCCTACGACGCCTCCATCTCGGCGGCCTGCAGCAAGATCTACGACGGCGCCTACAACAAGGACTGTGCCAAATCCGCCGCCACAGGTGCCGGCAGCGGCGGCAGCGCCGAGACCAACGGCTACAAGGACGTGTGGAACACATCCTCGAGCGGCAGCACCGGCCAGAACGCCTCCGTGCCCGTGCGCCCGTCCGCCTGCACCCCGGACTCGCGGGTCGGCGGCTACCTGGACGCGGCCGGCGGCAGTCCCGCCAGCCGCGGCGGCTCCGGCGGCGTCTCGGGCAGTGCCTGGAACGCCAACTGCTCCATCACGGGCGCCAGCTCACAGGGCGCCACCACGGGCCTCCATCAGCCGTCGAACCACACCTTCTACCCCTGGATGGCTATCGCAGGTGAGTCCCCGTCCGCGGCCGACGTGTGCGCCGCAAAAGTTAACTCACAGTGCTATAGAGCGAACCAACCCTCAGCGGTTGAGCTGCGAATTGTGAAATCTGCCAAAACTGGGAGTTCATTGACTCTCGGGCGAGTTTGGCTGCCAGTTTTTGGTGTCTTGCTTCCGAAATAATGAATGGTTTCGTCATTTTTATGCGCCCCTTGAGAGTGCAACAGTATCCCGAAAAGCTCTGGAAGTGAAATGAAAATTAGCATTAATTGCAGAGCATCCGCTATTGATTGCCTTTTAATTGTGGCGATCGCGCGCTTCTATGAAAACAGCGATAAAGTGTGAATGTGGATTGTCTTGCGGGGAGTCAATTAAAATCGCGTTTTGCAATCGATAGATTTCACGAGATGATCATGCGTAAGATCGAGAGATCAAATGATTGGGTTGGATGAGTTGGTTTTTTCGGCCAAATCGCAATTGATCACGATCTTCGTGGATGGAAATCACCAGTGTGGGTATATTTTTCCGGGAACGGAATTTCTCAGGCGCCCGAGAAAGTTTCTCAAAGTTGGGAAAAGAAAGAGAGAGAGAAGAGAGGGAAGTGTTTTTGGAGATGAAATTAAATAAAGCAATTTTCGCATTATCATTGGCCAAATTGTACAGATGTTTTGACAATAAATCATGTGCAAATTGCATGCCAATTGAGACCTGGTCCAGCAACATCTCGCCGTAATTGCCGATCAATTGCCTTTCCGCGGTTGACGCTCTTTACCCTGATTGCCACGCAGGGTGGGTACAAAAGGCTTGCCTCTGCGGAGCCCCCAAAACGCGACTTCCCTCCCGCGGAAGATCAGGGTCTGCAATTACAAAATTGAATTGGAATTTAATTTGATACGGTGCTGTAACAGACATTCATCTCGCAACCACCAATTTGGCTTCTTTTCTACCTCTCGATGGCCGTACGAGGAGTTGGGCGCAAAACGAGGTGCATCTGACGAAAAATCTCTCTCATTGACCTCTTCTCTGGTGATGGCCTCTGCCAAGACGGGTTTGCGATAGAGAAAGAAATCAACCATCAACGTGATTACTTACGTGATTAATTCACCTCGCGATACCGGCTCTCATGGCGTCTCGCATAGCTATCAAATCAGCCACAATTTAGGTATATCTTGGCAATCTCTAAACAAATCCCCGGCGATCTTCGCAATTTTCCATCTCTGATTGCGCTGCTCCAGCTGATGAGAGGCTCACACTGTGTTATGGTATAAAAAAGCTCTGTGGCTGCGGTTCCGGCCGAGAAAAGTGTCGATAATGGGAGACTTTTGGTGTGCCTGAGTGAAATTATATGTGGCTCTTTCGTTGATATTAAATTGCGGAAATTACAATAATTTTCCATCAAATTCATCGCTTATTGAATGTAATTGCTTTGGCATTGTGGGCCACGATGGCCATCTTGGGCACACGAAAGCCCCATCGTCAAACACGATGGACAAGATTGAGATGGAGCCAAGTTGCTGTGTGTGCCCATCAATCTGCGCGGCAATTTTCAACTCGCGAATCCCCAATGCAGCCTCTCTCATGCCCGAAAAGCAAGTCGCATGTTTATTTATTAAACAGAAGTTGCCCCGACGAAGGCCCCGCGACCATCCGAGGGGCCTGAGCAATTACACTTACACGGGAGGCATTACATAAATTAACTGACCGGAAAAAGTAGCGACGGGGAAATGATGCATTGAGTGTCGTTTTGCGTGTGGCAATTTAAATGCGTATATATGCCTCAAGAGACGCCAAGATGAGCTCAAGATGCTCAACCTCACTTTCTCGAATTCACTAGACAGGTAGCAATGTTTGGCTTCACAGAGGCTAATGCAAGATATCTTTCAAGCTCCGTCTTCATGTTAAGTTTCTCGAAGAAACTTAAAATTTCCCACAACGGAAATTTTCAGTAAGAGTTCCTTTTTTGCATATTAAGAAGAAATATCAAATTAATAATTTCCCAATGAAAATCTGCGTAAATTTCCACTCATTGTGAAAGATATGAAAAGTATGAAGCATATGCTCGACGCGATCCCGATCATCTTTCTGGGAGGAGTAGACAAAACCACCTCTCTTTGAGGAAGATCCAAAGATTTATTTCCCATTAAAATTTTCTCCACATCATTTGGCTTACAATAGCGAGATAAAGCGGGCAAATAAAAGCCACACTTTGAGCCTCATGGAAAAAATAGGTCGCTGCTGTAAAAAGGGGTTTCTTCTACCCCATATATCCATAGGCAAAAAATGCAAATTAAGACACTACACATCAACCTGCGCCACCCTTTTCTCTAATTGTTCTCTAATCATGTGTGGCGCCCTTCCTTGCAACCCCTGGAAAAGGCCTCGAGTGCAAATTGAGTCCCGGCAATTGAGAAGGTCAAATAAAGAGTCCATCCAACAGCAATTTGCCAACAATATTTGGCCATTTAAGCCATACACCAACTGTATTTACTCACAGGATTCAGCCCACCCTCCGCTAACCCACCCGCGCGGCAAAAGGGTTCGCGCGCGCCGAGTATCCATAATTTTAACGATGCCTATTTACAAATCATTGAGGTGTTTTGCCGTGGAGAAATCCTTTTTATTGGCTGCTATTACATAAAAGAGTGTGACCTGCCTTTTTAAACCTCCGTTTTTATGGCCTCGTAAATCAAATTGCACTTCTCATTCTCTCACTTTGCGCCCTCCTTCTCTGTCGCTGTACTCAAAAGCACTCGGTGACATGGTGTCTCGGGTGAGCTTGGGCGCACACCAAGGACATGCCTGACTTCATTTCCCAATTGGATCCTCACTCGAGGACCTCAGCGTGCACACGCCATGATTCTCCCAATAGGATCCGCGAGCAAACAGTGCCCCTCGTTTGCGTTCCCAATTCGACAGTGAAACAACAACTGGGATTCACAAGGACGACGCAAAGAGGCCGGAGTGCATATTTACAGTGTGTCATACCTACAAAACACGGTTAACCTATATCGACGAGTCGGCAATTTGTACATCCACTCATAGAATATTAAACACGATGTTGATGATGTTTGGACAGTCGACAATTTGTTTACTGCCTCGTAAAATATAGAGCGCCGACCAAGTCGAGTGAGAGAGAGACCTATGCGAAAAAGTCGCATACAGTTTAATAATAATGGAGATTAAATGAACTAATTATAGGGCAATTAGTAACGGCTGTGGGAAGGCAGAGAACCGTGAAAAGTGCAAGTGTTTGTGACTTCATGACAATATAAAAATCGATTACCGCGAAGGGGAGGCAGAAAATCACCGCCTAGAAGATCTTGAGAAATATTAAAAGAATGTTCAACAAGATTGTATGCAAAATTATTACTGGTGGACGTCTTTTTTTTATAGCATCTTCTCTGCCTTCGCGCTCAAGCCTATTGTTTCACCATTGAGTGGGGAGAATTAAGAGAATATAAAATTAGAAAACATGATTATAATGTCGTCAGTTAATAGAGATTTGACAGACGGAGGGAATTTTTTATCATAATTATCTCGACGCACGATAACAACAATGGAGGTAAATAAGAGATTATAGCAAATCTTTGCAGCAATAATTCTCATTTTACAACAATAAATGCGGTATATACATTAATTTATTGTTTATAGCACATGCTATAAGTTTATATTTTCCACTCGATCGCTCTTGGAGGTCTCACCAGGCGTCTCCACGACTGTCTGTAGTGGATTTTCTCGTACAGTGTCCTCAATTATTCCAAGTATGGAGCACTACGGGGTGAATTCTGAGCAATTGTGTGCTGAAAAGCCCTCTCAAGTGCTCACGCTTTATCACTCAGCCATCATCAATTGTTGCCACGAGCCAATTGCAATATTTATTGTAAGCAGATTTTTTTTTCAATATCCACTCGACGTGATGATTGAATCGCGCGCGTCTCAACGGGGAAAATTATACGTGAACTCTGGTAGAAATCGCTCGAACATTTGGGAGCAATTGGCGAGATGCTCGTGTGCGTGGCGGAGAGCACAAAAAACGACCAGTTATCAGCCATGATTCTCGGGTACTTGGCAGTGGGCACTACTCCTTCAGCCATGATAGAGATAGGCATGTCCACAGTCAAAAATTCACAATAGACCTATTATTTATGAATTTGGGAAGATGATTTCCCACCACTACACGAGCGAAACCGTGTCAGACATCCGTGGCCATGTGCTACTACCACACACTCGTCGTACTATTTGAGTTTCCGCCCATTCAACAGCCAAATGGTTGTTCTTTCGCTCCTCAAAAGTCACTATAGCAATTTTTCTGGCATTCCTCCTTCTCCCATTCTCCCTTGCCAACGCACACACTCACCAGCCACTCCATCAGCTGTTTCTGCCATTTATTTATGAATAATTCCCTTTTTTCGCTTCACGGTCTCACCGCTGAGCATCGATTTTGAGCATGTTCGCTGGGCTTTGCCTCTGAAATTAGTCTAAAAATTCTTCTAAACTGATTTATACGAGTGGGAAAGTTATAGAAGGAATCTCAAAGTTCATCTCTGAACGCTTCGAATGCTTCCAACATGCCTTGGGTAGATCAATCAGATGGAGGAAAAGCCCACTCGCTGGAGAAAACAAACAGAAAATATGCCTAATTTGAATTGATTGATTTACACAATTGTCTCATTAGGCGAATCAATAAATATCGTGACTCTAAAGTCCAACACCATGATGGCAGCCCCTCTCCCAAGGGGCCTCATGCTCATATCTCTGTGAGTGTCTGTTTTGTATTTTTTGAGGCCGTCGGCTGATGAATTTCTCGTGAGCTGAAGCCACTTTTTCGGGATGTTCAAGGTAGCAAGATGCCCTTGAAATTAATATTTCACCAAGGAGTCGTCTTCAGCTAAAAAATCAGTTTTCCCTGTGGCTTTCACACTAAAATTTGCCAATTGATGTTTATGTTTTATGGCATTTTTACGTGTTGAGTGGCTTGGCAGGCAATTTTTCACTTCAGTATAGTTCACC